ATAATTCGAATAAATTTTTTTTAATTCGATTAAAGTTTTTTAATTCGAATTAAAGATCAACTGTATTACGAATAGAAGCCCTAGTCATCAGTCTTAATCAATGCTGGGCTGACACAATAAATATAATCGCGTATTTTTCCGCGACCACAACATATTAATATTTTTAGGCGTATTTAGAAATTAATTGGCGATTTTCGCGGAAATTGATTGGGAAATAATTTTGAATTCTTCTAACTAAAATATTCAAATACATTAAAGATGATTATATTCTTGTACTCTTGTCAAAAACAATGGCACAATACCAATGTTCCGATTTTATGAAGAAATCCATTTTATTCTTTTAGCAGCATTAAATATTAATTAATTGTTTATTGGAAGAGGATAAGGATTTCTTAACTGGAGTCGAAATAACTTTTGAACTATTGGAGAAACCACCATTATACAATTATACTAGATTTTGTACTATAATTTTCAATCATTATGGCATCCAATGTCTGATAAAACATAATAAATTAGAAAACTTTATTTTAGATCATTAAACAGGTATTAGAAAACTTAGTACTAATTATATAGATTGTAATTTTTTATTCATTATAGATTTGATAATTGTTTTCAGAATCGTTATGAAATAGAATGTTATTATGGTGATGAATTTTTTGATAAATTGGCAAATATTTGTAAAACTATTCAATCATTAAAAATAATTTTGATGAATACATATATAAGTTAGCACAGCTAATTAAAGCATAAAAGCAATTAAATATTTAGTTATTGAAGTTATTGAATCAACACATTCACAATCAACAAAGACTTTAGAGTTAACATTTTATGCTAATATTAAAATAAAAAGTTGGAAAAATATTTCACTGCCAAATATTGAATCTGTGAAGTTAAATATTTATTATCAACCATTTCTATTCAGACTTGTCCAATTTTATTAATACAAATGAAAAAAATCTGGACGTTGATGGTTGTGATGATTGTGGGTTTTTGAGAAAGCTATTTCAATCAATTGCACAATCTTGCGAAAATTTAGAAAATTTATTTATACCGTATAAGGATGAATTAGACAGGAATAAAATAGACTATTGTCTTGATCCGAGTGATGTCATTTTTTTGCTCTTTGCAAAGAAGACGACGCAATCCAAACCCAACTTAACTTTGACGTCAACGCGATGCTAAAATAAATGAATCTTTGTTCTCTCATAGCACGGCGTGCATGATTGTGTGATACATAAAAAGCAAAAGCTCGCATTGCGTTCTCAGTTGTAAACTTGTTCGTTATTTATTATTCATTGATTTGGATGATATATCTTATATATTTTTACATGTTAATATTTTAACTCATCACCTTGCTTCTAATATTGTTTATCACATTGGACCGACTAATGTATTAATTGAGGAAATGAAATGCAATATTATTTTGATTACTTTGGCCGAAAGGTTATAATTGAAACAATTATTGAGATTGTGACATTAACATAAATATTAACTATAGAAATTTTTACATCAATGTTTAATACAATATATATTTTTTAATTCTTAACGTATATACAAAATTAATTTATTTGTTTCGTTTCGCTTATAACAAATGGTTTGCATTGAAAGCTGGATTAGCCCAAAATCACATGTGATCAAAGGTCAGAGGATTAGTTCTCCCAATTATCTGATCAAGGTAATAACTTTGCATAGTGATCTAATAAAAAACCCTTCCATCTGGAAATTTTGGAACGAGATGCATAATGGAAATTTTAGCATGACTCATTTCGTAAGCAGGCGTACATAATTGATAAAATTAATTTGCACATAAACCTGTTTTGACCTTTATCATTAATTTTAAATAAATTTAAATAAAGTATCATTATTATTGTACGTGGGTTAATTTCCCAAAAAATTATAATGATTCTTTTCTAAAAATGTAAACATTCAAGTTAGAGCTTACTTAAGTGGTATATCGTATAACAATTAGAGGATCTGCATAATAAAAGTTGGGGCAATTTTGTTAATTAAAAATGAATTTTTTTTACAAACTTATGTTTGAATCTCAAAATTTACAAATATAAAAAAAAATTTAAACATTAAAAAATTTTTGTATGGGGACAGCTCTCCCCAGATATTTTTTTTTCTATAATAATAACAATTAAAATAAAATTTTCCTAAAATGGCCAAATTTAATAATCATTTTATTTTTTATCATAACAGTAGAGATCTACAGCGACAGCGTCCCCTCACATGACTTAAAATATTATTTCATTTACAAAAATCTCTAATTGTTACACTTAATCATAAACAAAGTATTATTACGCGAGTAAATTTCTCTCAAAAGATTATATTGATTATAAACATTGGGGTTGGTCGTAATAATAATATATAAACATTTACTAAACCACTGTGACCAACGCCAATAAAACATTGCCTTGATTTGTCTTTTCATTTATCCGTGGCGTAATATTTTTTGTTCATACAACATTCTTTTGGACATAAAAATAATATAAATTCAACTCCAAACTCTCTTCCATCAAATTCCTTTCATTTGTCACTTGAATGATTTATTCATTAATAGTTGCTTCAAAAATATTTTTTACGATCAACCCAAACAACGTTAAAATCAAACTTTTTATTTCTATTTTTTTTTTTTTGGTTTTATCTCACAAAAAATTTTTACTTCAACAATGAATGATTTTCTTTCTGAAATAATAAAATTACCGCACTTCGAAAAAACTGGTAATGGAACATCTTTTATGTGTCCTGGTAATAATACTACTAGCAGTTTAAAAACATACGCAGACTTTTTTTCTCAAGTAGGGACGTTCATCCCTATCGCAGGTCTTCTTTTTACTATATCTATTTATGGTACAACATCTATATTTGGAATTATGACAACCTGCTTTCTTGATGATATTGTTATTATTACAACTTCTTTTGGACCGATTTTTTGGTGGTACACTTTTTCCAAACCATTCTGGTTTTATGGAATAATAAATCAACTCCATGATTCAAATTACAACCATGATCATATCTATTCAATAGTTCTTAGTGTTTTGTTCGGAAGTATGATAATTATTCTGTTTTTGGGAGGGATTATCAGGTTTCATTTTCACAAACGTCGGAATAAGCTCAATGAAGAGTCATTATGGTTTCAAATGCTTCCAGAGAAGTTTCGTCTTACCAATAAAGAATTCTTCAGTGCTTTAAAAGCACTTTATATTTGGAGTTTATTCTTTCATTCAATCGAAGTCATAATTTATAGTGTCTTGTCATATATATACATCTTTTCTATAATCTTAGATGAATCAAATGTTGCATTTCAAATCAACTTATTATTTTTAAACTATTTCATGAATTTTTGTTATCTCCTCGGAAGCCTTTGTTTAGTTGTGACATATTATTTTCCTGATTTGGAAGAATATATATTTTGTTTTACTAGTAAAAATAGACGTTACAGTGGTTTTGTTCGTAAAAAATTTTTCTTTTTTACCATTACCTTTTGCATAGTTCATATATTTTTTGAATATTACTGGTTTTGTACCGATCCTTTTTTTAACACAGTTTTCAACACTATTCTTGTCATCATTTTGACCCGTTCAATCGCATCATTCTTTTCTGACAATGGAGTAATTGAATGTATTTATAAACATGGTGAAGATGAGAAGGTTTTTGCAGAAATCAAAGTTAAAAATATCAACGAGGTTGTATATTTTTATAAAAATGATATAAAATACCGAATTGGTTCTGCGGAAGAATATTTTTATATTTGTGAAGAAGATGATGATGAAGGAAAAAATGTAGACAAAAAAAAAATGGAGTTGAAGAAAAAAATTATGTCCTGATTTTTCTTGGTGTCTTTTTTTATTTTTTCTTCGTTATCTATGGATTATTTAAAAAATTATTTGAAATGTCAACAAAAGAAAAAGAAAAAGAAAATATAAATTTAAAAGGAGAAGGATATTTCTACGTTAGAATTAGTGATAACCGGGTGTATTTTTATCAGCTTGAGTATAAATACGACGAGGAAAAACAGATAGAGAAACTAAATGATAAAATATTCAAAAAGTATTTTCTTAAAGTGAAAAAATATCTTTTTGGGCAAGGAGTCTTTGAAAGTGATCCAATCCTAGAAGAAATCAAGGAAATTACCAAGGCGAAGACAAAATGTTCTCATCTTATTTGCGAAAAAATCAAAAAGGATATGGAAGTAAAGATCGAAGAAGCTATGAAAATAAAGATCGAATATTCTTCTTCTTCCTCTTCTTCTTCCTCTTCTTCTTCCTCTTCTTCTTCTTCTTCTTCTACTACTATTACGAATGAAAAGAAAACTACAGGAGCGGAAATTCCGGGAGAAAATAGAGTGAAACCAAAAAGGATAAAAGTGGAATGGATGGGAGTGGAAGATAAGGTGCGGATTAACATACTTGAAACTGGTGCTCTTAATTATTTTATTTACTCTCACCGTAAAGATTCTAAAGATAAGTGCGAGAACAAAAAGGAAAACGAGCAAAATGAGGAAAATGAGAAATATATGTGTATTGACATTAGTGAAGGTAAGGTTCTTTTTCAGCAGATGAAGTGCAATTACTTATTGATCAAGTCAATGTTAATAATAATGATAATAATATTATTACAGAAGGAAGTTGTTACATTGAGATTGATTTTGATTTAAAAACTATTGTAACAGCGTCTGAAGAAGAAGAGGAAGAGGATGATTGGCGGTCCACCAATACTAATGTTGATTTCTAAAACTAGAGAGTTTCGTAACCGAAACTAGTTTTGATTTTTGATTATCGACTTTTGATTTAGTTTTGACATATAACTTTTAATTTTAGTTTTGACTTTCGTCTCTTCAAAATAGTTTTGGCGACCAACACTAATCAATACCTAATAAAATTGCTTTAGAAAGAATAATGATATACATGTAAATAGTTTAGAAATTGGAATCGATTAATTATTTTTCGATAAATCGGTCAAATATTAATATTAATCGATTAATTTTTCGAAAAATAATGACCGATAATAATTGTATTCCTTCTTTTCGTTTTTGTAAATAATAAATCATATTGAATAAATAATAAATTTCACTATTTAGAAAATAGTTTTGATTATTCAAATCTTCCTCTTGAATATGATAATAATAATAATATTGATGATATAACAGTTGCATCAACTTCTACTTCACTTACATTTGCACCTTCATTGTCAAATTTAACTTTAGATTCTTTTTACAAAGTTCAATCAATTAATTTGCCAAAACAAAAAAAGGCATTTAATTCACGAGGAGGATGCAAAAGAAAAAGTGCTGTATGGAAGTATTTTAATCTAAAGGTCAAAAAGTAGAAATTTGACTATCATGGAAATGCTACGGGAATATGGTATCATTTAGATTCTGTACATGATATAACTAAAGATGGAATTATTAAAAAACAAGTATCTTTACAAATCATATACAAACACACATATATACACGGATTATTGAAAAATTAATCAATTGATAACAAATTTTTGGCCGATTCCGATTTCTAAAATAGTTCATTTGTTTAGGATTAAAAGATTTAAAATGGAAAATTGATAGAAAACAAAATAATTCTTAATACAAACTAGTATGAATATTTATTTAGATAAATAATAAAGATTATTTTATTTTATTTTCTATCTATCTGTTTTATTAAATAATTATCTTCAATTATAACAATAAATAAATGATCTTTCTTTTTTTTTTTTTTGTAAATTGCATATTTCGATAAAGTCAGATCTCTTGATAAGACAGACACCATGCCCAGACACTTGTGTCCGACTTATCAAGTTTATCTGTGTATCTACAGTTAGGAGGGTATGGACAAATAATAATAATAAGTTCTTGTTTTTTCTGTCTCTTCTATACATGGGATGGTAATTGGTAATACGTAATTACGAGATCAATTATGGGTGACGAAATTATTCATTATGTAAAATCTGTAAATTTTACAAGTACTAACATAAAATTTTAAATTTTTCAAACCATAAACAATATCTTGCTTTTGAAGTAAAAAAAAGTCGTTTTTAATAAAAGATATTGTCTACATGAGCAATTTTACTTAAAATAAGGCATGCTTTCTATGAACAAGTACTTTAATTATTGTAAAAATACAAGTTGTTATTTTATTTATTTTATTATCATAAAATGATGTTCTTTAAATATAAAAAAATATATATTGGATATTGTGAGGACGAAAAGAAGTTAGGTCACAAGGAAGCAACTAAGTTAACAGTGCAGTGTTACAACAGGTTGTATAGAAAAATTTCAGTTTCAAATAGCATTCATTTATCCTGTATGAGTCTCCCGTTATAACAACACAACATTCGTTATAATAACAATCTTGTTATAATGACTTTTTTTAAAAAACCAAAGTTATGAATATAAATTTACTCCCGTTGTAATGTCACCTATTATTTATCCAGTTATACTAGTATAATGACATGATTTGTCAAAATTTTTTTAGAATTATAAATTTATTTCGTTATAACGACATGTCAGTGTAATGGGAGAACCAATCAAAATCGTAGGAAATTAAAATTTCCGTATAATGCTGGACAATTTTGACCCGGGTGTTGAGCTTTATCATTATTGATTGACCAAGTACTCAAACACCCGAATAACCAACTGATACAAACATTATGCAATCCAATTTTTATATATTGATACGTAAAAGTGCAATCAATTCTTCAAAGTACGATCCGATTTTATTGGTGATACGCAAAAGTTTAATCATTATTTTTTATATGATGATACGCAAAAGTAAGATCCAATTTTTTGATATGGTAATACGTAAAAGCAATAACACAAAAGCAATCAAAATTTTCGATCCAGTAATACATAAAGGTAATACGTCAAAACATGGACCAATTTTTTGACATGAAAAATGATACCTAAAAGCCTAACTATGGGAGAAAGGTTTCTAGAACATAAAACATGGTGTACGTTCGGTAATACACCAAGGTAAAATAATATAAGGAAGAAGTAGAGAAAAATTATGCTTTGACGTATTACCAAGTGAAGACAACAATTCAGCACTACATGCCTCATCCTCAATCAGTATTCAAATGCGTCACACAAAGTCAGGCCATGAATATTATTTTGGCACTACGTGCCTCATCTTCGCAATCGAATATGGAGTACAAAGCCAAAATACGGATTGCAAATTCGGCACTTCGTGTCTCAATCCTAGAATTCGAATTGAACGTAAAAAGTGAAAACAATGTATTTTTTTTTTTGGTCAGAAAGTGGGTGTGGCGATTTTACTTTCCCAGAAAGAAATGCCACTTATAGTTAATCGTGAACACTTGTTCATGGTAATCACGTTTGTTATATCTCGGTGTCCAAATTCGGGCTATAAAAAACACATTGTACCTTGAAAATGTGTTGGTAAACGTAATATGCAACACCATCGTCATTTTGGTACACTAGAGTCCGTACGTGCCATGACGTAAAAAACATCACCCCGTCTTGGATATGGAAAACATTTGGAAGCCGATTGAAAGCTAGAAACCACAGTGAAAGAAGTAAATTATAAGCAAATTAGACGGCCAACGTTGACATAGTAAACATATGATAATTCGCATGTTGTGGCCAAAAAATTAGAATACGCCACACTCGAATATGGCCAGAATATGAAATAGGCTACACGGAACGTTTATAATCTGGACCCAACATACCGAATACAGCTCTCAAACATGGCCAGGATCGCTAAATCGACCACATGGGATAATTATAGTCTAACCAAGTGAGATAATTATAATCTAAATACCCCACTTAAGCCTTTCCTATGCTTCTGAGAGGGGAAGAGCGGTGGGACATAATTTTAGTATTTGAGAAACTAGTTTTACCTGACACTCCTCGGGAAATAGAGTCAAGGATTGCATTAAAAAAATAAGTCATTTTCTTTCAACAACAATTACGTTAGATATTGACATGCTAAACTATTAAGTGAATCAGAAACATGAAATGTACTTATTTCAATATTCTAATTAAGCACATACTGGATGGAAAAAGTCATAAATATTTGAACCACTGGCTTTGAAATATACCTGTAAAGTATCATATTTAAAATAAATTTCAATTAGAAATCACATGCCACATGTACACTTATTCCAAATCAAAATTATTTAAATTATTACAAGGACTAGCTAGAAATGTGAAAATTTACGTGCATATTTAACCTAGGCTATAATCTGAAATAAAGTTTACTTACTTTTAAAAAATCGAGTCCCACATTATTTGCCCGAAGGTATATGAACCAAGACTTTGTAAAAAAATACATGATCATTAAGAAGAAATTGTTTGTTTAACTGTGTTTATAAGATTTATGGTTTTTATGGCATCTTTCGTTTTAGTTGATTAGTGCTCTACATTAATATTTGTTCCTACCATCGGTTGCATTTACTAACACGAATTATTGAAAACAGACTGTATGTGAACCTGTAATAGTAATATGTTTTTGGATAATTATGTAAAATGGTATCTACTCTCTAGGTGCAATCAATTCAAAAAAATAATAAGTCAAAGAATATTTCATTACAGCCAAATTTTGATTTCTACCCTCTAACCAAAGTTACAAGGGCTTAAAAAATTAGTAAAAAAAAAATTAGAAACAACTATTTTTAATTTTTCTTTAAATTTCATTGGTCAATACTACTTACACGTGATGTTCTTCCACCCAAATTTTCGCTGCTCCACTGTATGGGCTATGTTAGTACAAGTAGTATTTCAAAATGACGTTTTCTTTGAAAATCGCTTTAATAAAAGTTTTACAGAACACAAGTATATTAATTAGAACCTCATAGATATAATTCATCCTAGAGTAACAACAAAACTCTGTTGTAACGGAAAGAATATAAAATCAGACTGAGACTTTGAGTTAAGTTACAATTAAGAAATAATTACTAGTTAGCCACATAAATTCGTATCTAGTCTATAAACATGCTTAATAGTCGTCTATTTGCACAAAGGCATGTAAGCATAAATAAACTAGACTCTGCAGCAGACGTTTTATTATTAAAAAGCAACTGTAAAATTATCTCGGTTATTAAAACAGTTTGCCTCATGTATAGAAAATAAACTTTTATTAATAAAATAAATAAATAAATAATAAATAATAAAAACTATGATAAAAAATTTTAATTTCATTACAATAATTTCGATTGAATAGAATTAACCTCGAAAAATAGATAAATAAATTAATTATATCTACGTCTTAACTTACAAAAATCTTGTTCCAATTCAGCATAGTGTTGATTCATTGTCATAATACAATCTTTAATCATCAACAAACGATCAGAAATCCTTAAAATTAAAGGGTCATCGTCACTTTTGATGCCATGATGAATATTATTGGGCGAAGAAATATTTAAACTTAGGCGAGGTAAAGTTGTCATCATCACGTTGTCACTGTTTTGGTTATACTGTCCATAACTTTGAGTTTGTTGGTGGGCGTGTTGAGCGTAATTTTGAATTTGTTGTTGCTGACTTTGTTGAAGATAACTTTGTTGAGCTAGATTTTGAACTTGATGCTGATTGTAATTTTGTTGACCTAGGTTTTGAATTTGTTGGAGTTGGTTGAGTTTTTGTTGTTGATCGGAATTTTGAGCTGGTTGATTGATATTTTGAATTGGCTGAATAACTTGATCAGAATTTGGAATTTGACCGTCTTGTTGACCATCTTGTTGATAATTATAAGTCATTTTGATTTTATTTTATAATTAATCGTTTATTAATTTTTTTTTAAAAAAAATAAGAAAAAACAGAAAGTGAAACTTTTTTTGTTATTTTTTTTTTTAGCTATTTTGGTTACACGACCTGCACAGAATTTTTTTATACATTCTAAAAACTGTTATGGAAAATGGAAGTAACTGCGGATTTGGACATTCGGGTAAAGGGAATCATGTGATTCTAAATATAACGTGTCGTGTATATAAAAAAAATATAACATGTATCAATCTGAAAAACAAAACAACACAAAATACCTTCAAGATCTCTTTCAAATTCTAATTCTAATAATTCTCACTTAGTTTTAATAGATAACTTCATATGATGCAGTTAAAATTGTTAAATTGAGTTTTTTTTTTTTTTTTTTTTGAGGAATAGCCTCATATTGTGAATTATTTTATTTAATAAAATTATAAGCTTTTATAAAAAAAAAAAAGTCAAATGTGTGTATATATATAATTATATTTTTATCTAAATAACCAGCCATTTTACAAATAATAATCCCAGGAATAAGAATAGACTAATTCTTCAGCACCTTCAGCAACATCTATTATTTTAGAATTTGTTATCCAAAATCCAGCACCAGATTTTTGCAATGTAACTATTTCTATTATTATTTTTTTATTTATTAATTCATCAAGTAAGTGATTTGCTTGTCTTGAATTTCTAATTGTTCTATTAAAATTTTCATCATAAATTGAAACTGAATTCAATTTTTTATCAATTAGTTT